CACAACCACCCATTTTCTTCTCCCTATTCCCCATGACCACCACTGCAAGTCATCCTCCACCCCAGAACCATCCCTCCCAACAAACCTTCTCTCTCTGTCTCTCTGTCTCTCTCTCTCTGTTTTTACAACAGAGGGAAGGTATGGGTGGGACCCCTCTATTTATTAAAATGATTTTATTTATTTATTTGAAATTTCATGTTATTGTAACATATAAAATGACCAATTTGCTCTCATATTTAACAACAAATTTGATGAAATGTTGAGATTTAGATAGTAGGGGGAATTAACAATAAAAATTAGTCATTGTATTCAATTTTCCAAAAACAAAGTTGAGAGTACAAATTAAAAGTAACGTACAAGTTCAAGGGGTAAATCAATAGTTAACCCCTGAAATAAATTACTCAAGCTCAACTTTTTATTCAAAAGTTGAGTTGGATCCAAACTAGTTTGCGTTCAACTTAGAGGTGTCAACCGACTGGGCCGGCTCAAATACTGCCCTTTGAAGTAAGGCTCGACCCGACACGATTTTTATTTTTAGGCTGTGTCGGAACAAGGTAATTAGGTCAAATGAGCTTGGTCAGTCTATGGCTGTCGCGAGCTATGCCGGCCCGAAATTTAATGGACCGGCCTATTTAAAGCCCATTTATTAAATTATACTTGTTTGAGAGAAAAATAATATATAAAATTATTACATTTATATCAAGTCTATTTCTTTTCTCTAATAATATACATTAAAATTTAATGTTTTATTTGTATAAAAAATAATAATTTTATTTTTCAAGTTTTGATTTTTAAAACCCAAACAATAATCTAGCTATTTTCTATTTAAATGTACTTTAAGTAAAGTTATTTACCTTCTTTTTTAAAAACAAATAATAAATATTATTAGTATATACATAATTGTACAAAAGATTTAAATGAAGTTGTAAAAAAATTACAAAAAAAAATGCAATACATAAGTCAAATTTGGCGTGGGCCCATATCGGTCCATTAAGTAGCCAGTCATGAGCACGACCCGAACCCCATACGGGGCCATGGACTTGGACCGGGATTGATGATTTTTCTAAATAGGCGGGTATGGCATAGCCAATTGACCCCTCTAGTTGAACCTATTCAAGTAACACCAAACCTAGTGTCACGGTAAGAGAGTGAATATCTTTTAAAATTTGAAAAATAAATATCCAAAAATTATGAATTCTTACACAATTGACCCATCCAATCAAGTAAATGAGTAATTTTTTGCATATTTCGGGTACACCATGTGGCTGGTGTACCATCCAATACATATGGAACATGTGGAAATATTGTCCAATACACATAAGACATAAAAATATTCCGCATGTCCTATATGTATTGGATGGTATATCAGCCACGTGGGGTAACCAAAATTTACAAAAATTTATCCAGGTAAACCTTTATTTTTTTTGACCTAGCACTCAATTGGCATATTTTTTTCGACTTATTTACTATAGCACCCCTTGAAAATTCGGTCAAATCTCACTTAACTCCCTGAAGTTAAAATGGCCCACTTTACCTCCTTGACCATGATTTTGTGTTCCACTTCCCCCTACCCCACCATTAACGCCATCCAAAAGACTGTCAAAAAGTTGACGTGGTAGGGGCATTATGGTAAAAGCACTCACATGGGCCAATTGCTGACCTTAGTCAGCTGCCTACGTGGCATATTGGACCCCACAGGCGTTGAAAATCCTAATTTAAGCGGCTGACTTCGTAAAATCTGGCCAATCTCAACCGATATAATTTGGGGAGATTAGGGTTTGGACTGTATCAAAGAGAGAGATTCAAACATTTGTTAAGAATAAAAAATTGCAGAAAAGTGAAATCAAAGAATCAAAATTTGGGCATTGCGCGAATATTGGACAGATTGGACAATGACGGTGCTAAGAGAGAAATGAGGTTCTCAACCCGAGTACAGTAAGTGGCCCTTTGCTTTTGCTTTTGCTTTTGCTTTTGAAATGAAATCGACGAAAGCGGTAGATTTATAAAGTGTGGTCGAGGTTCAAACTTCTTTATTGTCTGCTTGCTTTGTTGGGTCGGGTCCAAAGGTGTTGTGGTCCACTATGTGTTGCTGTTATGTTTTCTTGTTTACTAGTTGTTTAAAGGTCGTTTTAGTACTTTACTAGTTGTTTTATTGTTTACTAGTTCTTGTTTGCTAGTTGTTTAAGGGTCGTTTTAGTGTTGACTGGTAGTTTGGTGGTTGTGTTGCTATACATATGACTAAGCAGTGGTTAAACTATACATACGACTAGGCAGTGGTTGAAGTGTGTGTTTTTATGTTATGTTGTGCATATGACAAAGGAATAGTCACCTTTGAAGTACACCATGGAGGTAAAATGGTAAAATCCTCAAACCTTAATGAGTTGTGGTTTTATGTAGGGGGTTCTGTTGATTATTTGGACTGGTGTCTTTTGGACTACATAAATTTGTTAGAGATATATGCTTATGCAAAAGAGCTTGGGCATCATGACCAAGTGGTTGTGACAGGGATACAAAATGGTAAAAAAGTGTGTATAGATAGTGATGCTCAGCTATTTGATTAGTGTAATTTGGTGCCTTCTAGCTTTCAAAGAGTGATTGTCATTTACTTTGAACACCCCACTGTTATTAGTGTGGATGAATCTGCAATGGCTTGGAGTGAAAGGGGTCCTATTGCAAGAAACCTAACTGTTGAATTTGAACAATCTGGTTATGAGGGTATGTATGAGGAGGATGAAGAGGATGGAGAGGATGAGGAGGATGGCATTGATGTTGATGATGAGGACGAGGGTGATGAAGGTACTGTTCTTGAGCCTATACATGTGGAGGAAGCTGGTGATGAAGGCACTATTCTTGAGGGTACAAATGTGGCTGAGGATAGGCATGAAGGAACTATTCCTGAGGTGTAAATGTGGATGAAGAAGATGATGAAGGTATTGTTTCGGATGGTATAAATGTGGAGGATGAGACTATATATGAAGAGGGAGAGAATGACAAAAGGGCTGAAAATGATAGTGAAAATAGTGAAGACCCTGAATTTTATGATAGTGCTTATGACCAAAGTGAAGATGAACAATGCTTGCTGGAGAAGGATGATAGAGCATTTGACAACTATGTTGACCACAATGCTCCAAATATTGATCCAGCTACAGATGAAGGAGAGAAATCAGAAGATGTGGCTGTAAGTGATGTTAATAGCTTGGATAGTAGCTCATGTGATGAGGTTGCATTGCCTATGAGAAAGAGGAAGAGGAAACTGCCCAAGTTTGAAGATTTTAGGCCTGAAAAAAATTTGAATAACCCAATCTTGAAGCTTGGTCTAAGATTTATAAGTGTATATGTTTTTAGGAAAGCAGTGAGAAACTACTCAGTGTTCAACAGAAGGAAGATTAAGTTATCCAAGAATGATAAAGATAAAGTTAGAGCAGTTTGTGATGGGATCAAGAATGGAAAATGTCCATGGTTTGTTTATGCTTCAGCTGTAAATGGAAGTAGCATGATTCAAATTAAGAGTTATGAAGAAGAGCACACTTGTGGGACTGTTGAACGCAATGTCCATGCTAACTCATCATGGTTAGTAGAGAGATATGCTACACAGCTGTCTAGAATAATAAATTGGGATGTAGGAGCTTTTAAGGAAAGGGTGAATGAAGATATATGTGTCATAGCTTCAAGATCACAGATTTACAGGCCAAGGCAAAAGGCAACTGCTGTAAGTGAGGGGACTTACACAAAACAGTTTGAGACTCTTTAGGATTATGTTGAGGAGCTAAAAAAGACAAATGTGGGAACTACTGTAAAGATTAAGTCCAATTTGGAGGGTGACAAATGTAGATTTGAAATGATTTATATATGCTTGGCAGCTACAAAGAAAGGATTTATTGATGCTTTGAGGCCAGTTATTGGTTTGGATGCTAGTCACATCAAAGGGCAATACCCTGGCCAATTACTATCTGCTATTGGTGTTGATCCTAACAACGGCATGTATCCAATAGCTTATGTAGTGGCAGAGGCTGAGAATTATGCAACTTGGACTTGGTTTTTGGAACTCTTAGCTGTTGATCTTGGCATTGAAAATAGCAATGGCTATGTGTTCATTACAGATGTACAAAAGGGCTTAATTGATGCAGTGGGTGACATGTTTCCAAACTCTGAGCATAGGCATTGCCTTAAACATCTGCATGCCAATTTTATACTTGCTGGCCATAAAGGATTAATTCTGAAACAACATATGGAGGCTGCTGCAAGAAGTACAACTATACCTTGGTTTCAAGTAGAGATGAAAAAGCTCCAAGATTTGTCAGGACCAGCTTTTGATTGGTTGTCAAGGCTTAATCCAATGCAGTGGTGTAGATCTCACTTCATAACACACTCAAAATGTGACATTATCTTGAATAACATGTGTGAGGCATTCAACAAGTCTATCCTTGATGCTAGAGACAAGCCTATCATAACATTGCTTGAAAGGATCAGGTATTACATCATGTTGTTGATGGCAACTAGAAGAGAAGCTATGGAGAAATGGGCTCATGATATGAGGCCAAAAGTTTTTGCAACTCTTGAAAAGCTTAGGAAGCAATCAGCCTGGTGCATTCCAAGGCTTGCAAGGGAGAGCAAATATGAGGTTAAGTGTTTTGGAGGCACTCAGGTGGTAGTTGATTTGAGAAACAAAAGTTATTCATGTAGGCAATGGGATCTAACTAGAATCCCATGTAAGCATGCTTGTGCTGCCATTGGGTAGTCAAATGGCAATTGCATTAGCTATGTCCATGATTATTACAAAAAAAAGGCTTTCATCAAAGCTTACAAACCCATGGTTCATCCAATGGCAAGTCAATACTTGTGGGCTAAAACAAATTTGCCACCTTTGTTGCCACCTAAGTTTCATAAGCAGCCAGGGAGGCCAAAGAAAACCAAGATAGGCTCAGCTGGTGAACCATCTCCAAGCTCTAATCCTAAAGCTAAACACTTGCCAAGGTATAATTTGGAAATCAAGTGTTCCATGTGTAAGCAACCAGGCCATAATAAGAGAAAATGTCCAAGGGTAAATGAAGCAGGGAGTAGCAGCTAGGTATATTCAAAGCATGTGATTTAAAAAATTATGTATGTTTGGCATTCTGATATGGATTTCCTAGTGATGTTTGTTGGTCAGGTACCATCACAAAGGCAAAAGAAGACAACACATCAAGCCAACAAATCCACTCAGAGAATTACAAGACAATCAAGGCAAAAACAACCAGTAAGTTGGGTTTCTTTTATTTAAGTAACAGTTTCAGACTCTTCATTTGTAGATATTAATCCAACAGTAGGCATTTAATATAACTCTTCCAAAATTTTAAGATCATATCAAAGGCTAAAAAAAGGAGCAATCATCACCAAGCTTCTTCTCAGTCTAGCCAATCTCCTCAACCATCTCACCAACCAACTCAACCATCTCAATCATCTCACCAAGCAGCTCAACCATCTCACCAACCAGCTAAAGCATCTTAGTTTGAACAATCCTCTGAAGCTTCTCAATTTGAACAAGCATCTCAAGCTGCTCAGTTTGAACAAGCCTCTCAAGCTTCTCAGTTTGAACAAGCCTCTGAAGCTGCTCTGTTTGAACAAGTCTCCTAATCTCAAAGCACCAAATTCGTCTCTACCTTTACAAGCTTCCCCATAAAGGAAAGTTAGGTTTAAGTCTCTAGCTAAGAAGAAAGCCTTCTTGGCAAAGTTTAAGCCATGGAGATATTGAAAATCTCTCCTCTGTTTTTGCTGTGTCTTGAGGAACACATGTGTTTTTGGGTAGAAACTATCTATTTGATATTTGATTGTCTACTTTGTTTTTAGGTACAAGATTGTACAACATTTCCATGGATGGTGCATATGAGATCTTTTGTATTTTGTTTTGGCATTACCATGGTTTAAACATATGCTTAGAAAGTCTTTTGAGTTATGGTTTAAACTGTACAATTTATGTACGATACTATATACAGTTTATGTAAAGTTATGAATCAATGGCAGTTGTAAAGCTCTTAAAGGTTTCAACAATTACTGTTGCTTACATAAGTCTTTAGTCTTAACCATTACAAAAGGGCTTTGAAACCATTACAAAAGGGCTTTCAAACCATTACATTTGCAAAATGCTAGAGCCATTGCATAAAGACCCTCATCTCCCTAAATTGCCATTTAACTAGGTACATTACATAACATTACCTAACTTTCAAACATACCACATTGCCTAAGTTACATTACACAACATTGCCAAACCAAATCATAAACACAAAGGCCCAAGAAATAAACAGAGCAATCCACAACTTCTTCTTTCTTGCTCTTGCACGCCCAATCTAATCTTCAAATTCTCTCTTTGTACTCAGCAGCCAAGCCATCATAGCTCTCTCATAGGGAGGCATTTCAATATCAACCCATACAAAAAACCCACAACCTTTTTTCCCCCATTTGCATTCAAACAACGATTTCATCACATTCTCACAATTTTTTTTCTTCTAATTTTTGATAAAATGGCAAATACAAAACCTACCTCTGACTTTGGACACACAAAGAACCTCCGAAGTGGGTTGGACTCTGTCCCAGAAGTCTGCAGCCGAGCAAGCCGCTCACAATAGCAATCAGGTGCAACAACGGCCACCTCTTCTCCTCGCGGAGGTTCTTTCCTCATCTTCACACCCTTTAATCGAACAAAGATGGAGAGATTTTTCTCTGGAGAACCTTAAATGCTTCAAATGGTGCCAATATGCCACATAGACAGCTGACTAAGGTCAGCAATTGGCCCACATGGGTGCTTTTACCATAATACCCTTACCACGTCAGCTTTTTTGACGGTTTTTTGGATGGCATTAATGGTGGGGTGGGGGGGAAGTGGAACACAAAATCACGGTCAAGGGGGTAAAGTGGACCATTTTAACTTCTTGGGGGTTAAGGGACATTTGACCGAAGTTTCAGGGGATGCTACAGTAAATAAACCTATTTTTTCTTACGTGCACTCCAAAAGTAGTCATGAACAAGTGAACTAATTGTTTAACAATATGTAGCTTAACGGTTATTTATATCGAATTACAAAATGGGCAAAGATCCAACTATTATATGTCTCAAACTCCAACCACAAAATGTAATTTTACATTGACCTTTTATTTTTATTTATATTTAGGTATAAGTGCTACAACCCTGAAACATTGGTCAAATCTCACTTTACTCCCTCGAAGTCAAAGTGACCCACTTTGCCCTCTTAACCACAGTTTGATGTTCCACATTATCTTATACCGTCAACTTCATCCAAAAGTCCGTTAAGTTTGATGACCTGGTACGGGTGTTTTTATAATTTTGTGCACCTAGGTCATTTACTCACCAATTTAAGTGGGTGATGTGGCAAAGTGGAGCCCACCGCATAAAAATATAATAAAATATTCATCTTTCCAAATAATTAAAACATTGAATAAATTTCACTATGTGCCAATTAGTGGATCCACATAGACCACACATATTGCGCCACGTGGACCGAGAAATAAATTTTTTAAAAAGAAGTAAATAATATAATTAAAATTGAAAAAAAAAGATTTAAGATTTATTTCAAAAAATAAAACTGTTGATCCGTCGCAAATCTCGCGGCCTGGTGCTCCGGGCCGAGGAGATGCGCGTCAACACGTGACATCCTTCTTTTGGATGCGGTACGGTTGTGCGCGGGCGGGAAGATGGTTTAAGTGTTGCGCCTGTTTTACGTTCGACTCCTAATCAAACGATTGTGGCCGAGTGAAGAACGAATCTCGGCCGTCAGGTTCACGACCTGAGCTACAAGGCCGTTTAGTGGTGGTGTTGGTGGCGAGTTTTATGTGGTGCTCCAGCGCGTTGCTCAGAGAGCGACGGTCGTATGATATATGGGGTGAGTGAGGCGATAACAGAGATGGTGCTCCGGCGCCTTGAAAATCAAGGGTCGTATGATATATTGATGGATGGATTTTCCTTACAGTCTACCACTACTCCTAAGAAAGCAAATAAAGGTATTGAAAGTGCATTACAGGAAAATATAATTTGCTCCGTGGGAGGCTTTTGGTTTTGGTGTTTGAACCTCTTGAACGTAGTCCTAAGCTTAGTATTTATAGGAGTCCTGGAGGGACATTCGAGGCTGATAAGACCTGCGCGGTGGAGCCTGACCGGGGCAAGTGGGTAGTCAAATCGGCATTTGGGATCATGAAGTATGGTGGTCTGGGTAGAAGCATGGTGGTGTGACCCCCATAGATCTCGGCAAATCTCGGCCACCACCTTGATCGTGGGTTCTGCCCCTTTGGCCGTGGGAACTCATTTAATGCTCTAGACTGGTGGTTGATGATCTGACCCTAAGTCGTAAGATTACTTGTGAGAATGTCTGCGCCTAACCACCCTAATTCCTATCACCAAATCCTGACTTCAGCCACTCCCCTCGTGCATTGAATGTTTCTTGTGATTAGTGGGTTTTGCTGCGAAGTCAGAGGCATTACTTCATTAAATGAAGCGTGGGGCCCTGAGGCCACGTGGCGATTCAACCATAGCTTTTTCGGACCGTGTCTTTTGCGGCCTTCGGCCTCGGTCTTCAAAACTGCGCTCGCGAGGCCAAGGGGATTCTCCCTTTGCAGCTTTTCTTTTGCTCTTAGGATGGTGAAATGCTTGACGAAACGCTAGGCACCAGGGCCGAAGGGAAGTCCCTTCAATCAGTTCATGACCGTGTTTTATTAGGCACAAACATTGCCCCCACATCCCTGGATTCTTCGATCACGGCCTGGGCAGAGGCCGAAAGGATTCCAAGGGATGGACCCCTTTGCATTCCCCTGGAAGTGATTGACAGTTGGTGCTTTAAATGCGTAGGTCAATCGGCGCATTAAATGCACAAGCACGTCTCGTAGGCCATCATTGCCCAGGCTTGTGCGAGCCGTTGTTTTGTCCCATCAAACGAAGCGTCGGCCTCTGGGCTTTCGACACGTCATCGCGCCCTTTGAGCACGCTTGTCAGGCCGTTACGTCTCTCGAGAGAGCCACGCCCTTTCGTTTCGAATTCTAGCGCCAATATAAAAGCATGTCCTTCTTCATCCCTTCCTTACGCTTTCAGAACCTTCAAACCCCCAAATTCTGCCAAACCTTTCTCTCAACTCTTCAACCCTTTCGAACTCCATATTTCAGCACCTCAACCCCTTTCTGCACAGTTATCCCCCTTTGTTAGTGACCACCGACTTCAATTACCTTCCCCGTGTTTTTCTGAAAACTCTCGAACTCTCTGCCCCTTTTCTGAGCATTCGGCCCCCTGGTGTTCTTCGTGTTCATCACCCTTCCTTCGACTTTTTCCAAACATACCCTCACTTTAATCCGTTGCAATGGCCTCTAACACCCCTACATCTGTTGAAGATCGGTCCCAAGCCTTTCAGACTGAATTCGAAGACATTTGCCGAGAAATCCAGGGCTCGGTCTTACCCAACATCGTCACGCCTTGGACTGATGACGATGGCACTGCCACCGATTCCTGCGTCCTCGGCCCCTCTATAGATGGCGGGATGCCAGAGAGGCTGGTGGCTCACTTGAAGAACAATTTGGTGGACCTCTCGGCCTTTGATGGGGGGATTTCCAAGATTGGAACGTCGCCAGACCGTAGCCCCAATGGCCAACCTCGACCCCGGACTGGGAGAAATGGCTGCCGAGGATGGAGCACTTCTTCGGCCAGTAATGAAGGGATCAGGGCATCTACCACTTGATCAAGCTGTTCGACCGGCCTCTCGTCATG